TACAACTTTTGGTGTTTTATTAATAAAGATATACATAGACAGATGGAGCATCACATTTAAGGGTTTTTGGTATACAGTGATAATGGAAAGTACTTTAATGTAAACATTCAGTCGTTCTGGTGATAATATTTCCCCACTAGTCGCTGCATTCACCAGTCGCTGCGTTCACCAATCGCTGCATTGGCTAGTCGCTGCATTGGCTAGTCGCTGCCTTCACTGGTTGGTGCCTTCACCAGTCGCTGCGTTCACCAATCGCTGCATTGGCTAGTTGCTGCGTTCACTAGTCGCTGCGGTTTCCAGTCGCTGCGTTGGGTAGTCGCTGCATTCACTGGTTGCTGTGTTCACTAGTCACTGCATTCATTAGTCTCTCCTTTCACCAGTTACTCCGTTCACCATGTCCTTAAGTTCACCAAGACAAGACACACGTCTCCCTTCACAAGCCCACAAGATTTCCAAGGCTACCGTTCGCCTTTCACAAGCCCGCAAGTTGAAGACAATCTTTTCCTTTCAACAAAACACTTCAACTTTTCTTTTCATTCAAGTTCTCATTAGTCGGCAAAACACATCGTATTCAAAACTGTCCGCCGTCGTGTTGGGGTGAAAAGGAAAATTTGTCTTCAGTAATATAATGGACAGAAACCAAGTTGGACAGATATATATATACTGTATATATAAAGATTCACCTTCTGTTTCATATCGTTCTGTCTCATAATGTCTTATTTTTTGACGGATTTACGGAGTTGTATGATTAAATTAACACATTAAGTCGGTCTTTTATCTCCAGTTAAAAATTAATCAGATATATAATGGAATATGATCTTGTCTTTAACTGGGAGGACTTAGGATCTGTCACTCACTCACGGGTATTAACTGGGTGACTGGACTTATCGGCCATTGGAGACAGTTTAGAGTGGACATTAAGGTACTCCTGGCCTCCTACTCCCCTTCAGGAACCTCAAAATGTGTGGGTAGAGTCGGGGTCAAGAGTCTCCTGGGGCCGGAGCTCACCTGATGCTAAGCTACCGTAGTGAGGCAAGACTCATCCATCACCATCTCTTCCTTAGCGGCCACCAGATGGAGCTGAAGAGACGGCCCTGCTGCCTGCTGACGGTGAGGCTCTGAAGGAGGGCTCATGACTCTCTCCCTCTGCTGCCTCTCTCTTCTCCTTCTGGTGCTGCGTCGTGCGATGGAGGAGACCACCCGGGAGAAGCAGAAGGAGAGAGCGGAGACTGCCGTGTGTCGCTCGGTCCGCCCTGATCTCCTGATGATGATCACTAGACCCAGGAGATAGAGGGTAAGGACCACGCCCACGTACCAGAGGGCGTGTTGTTGGGCGTCCGAATGCATCTTTGTCATCTGTTCGTGGATAAGGACCTGGTGGGGCGTGGCACTGGCATTCCCCTGACACTGGCACCATAACACCTCGAATGGCACACCGACGCCTTCCATCTGTAATAATAAGACAACTATTACCATTCACAGCCGATCTTTCGTATTATCTTACAACAACTTCCCTGCGATAAAATTTCCCCACAAGTAGATATATAAACAAACACACCTGAGGTAATTAACTTCAACCTACAACATAAAATAGAAACACCTTCATCACAACACGGAATTATTATAAGGTGATCCGAGAGAGAGAACAATAGAAGCCATAACTGCGTTCTAGACTAATGAGATTTACTTAGAAATAATAACATGTTCATCTCGTCTCCTTTAGTCTGCTGTGTGGAGAGTTTAATTAGGTTATTTTCTGTTTTATATTTGAATAGATTTTTATGAAGGAATTGATAGGAATTAAGGGTATTTAATTTAGCTTGTTGTTGTCGAGCTTAGGTAGAGTGATGGAGTAGTGTTTGTTGATTAGTGAGAGAGAGAGAGAGAGAGAAAGAGAGAGAGAATAACATGGTGTTGGTTCAGTATAAACACCGATATTTATGTATATTAATTCATAGGTATACATATACACATTTATACATTTATATTTTATACAATATATGTTTTCCCATGATATCACGAGTTAATATTTGCAGTATTCTCTGATGATATGTATATATGTATGTATGTATGTATGTATGTATGTATGTATGTATGTATGTATGATCGGTCCAAATAACACGTGGACTTCCATATACAAACAATACCTCACTAGTCGGGAATCGAACCCTGGCGCTTAACAAGAGCGATGAACAGGCTTTGTGTGGAATAACAAAGCCTAAGAATGCTTGTGTTGTCCTTGTGGTAAGGTGGCAGCGATAACTGATCACACGCAGAGATCCAGTTTTCGATTCCCGACTAGTGAGGTAGTGTGTGTTCAGGTATGTATGTATTTACGTATGTAAGATAAGAAAAAATCGACTGAGAAATGGCCACATATTTTTTTTCACAGTATGATGATCCAGGAGACGTCGCTTCCCCTACGTAAAATAATGTGCCAGAATGTCTAAGCTTGTTATGGTTCTTATTTATTCAGAAATATTGAGGAAGGTGTTTATTATGCTATTGGTGTATCGTGGTAAGGAGAGTATAGGTGGGGGAGAGAGTGGTGGTGAGGGAGAGAGTGGTGGTGAGGGAGAGAGTGGTGGTGAGGGAGAGAGTGGTGGTGAGGGGTGGTGAGAGTGGTGGTGAGTGGTGGTGAGAGTGTTGATAAAATACAATGTACATAAACCAACAAACACAGCAAACACCACCCCCCGAGGTTTGTTTTGTTTTAATGATAAATAGATTTAAACTAAACAGGTCGCTGCTAATGATCAGTTTCTTGTTTACGGTATTTGTAATGACTTGCAACGAGCATTCTGTCAACAAGCATCATGCTACAACACTAAACTACCCTTACCTTAGGTTAGGTTATGTTAGTTTTGGTTTAGGTTTGGTTAGGTTAGGTTTTGTTGAGTTATATTTTTTTGAAAGTTATGTCACATCAAACTCATTTGAGAAAAGTAGTCAAAGGCAAATAGACAGACAGACAGAGAGACAGACAAAGAATCTCTATACCAAACTTCCTCTTCTTAACACAACTCAAAAGTACATTCAGTAAAGAAATAATAATAACATTAATCTCAACTTCTTCCATCTCCTCTTTTATCAACCTTTCACATCCTTCCTCTTCCTTATCTTCTGCTGGAACTTTACCAAAACTTTTTATGTCGAAAATTCTACAAACTATCGGAATTTTACTTTTTTACTTTTCTACTTCATCATAGAGTCAGAAGTTAGGGAATATTTTACTTTATTTTATTTTCAATATCTTTAATATTTTGTCATTTTATAATTGTTATTATTTTTTTTAAATCTTTATTTCTTTATTTTTATTAATCATTTTTATATATGTATTTTTTATCATTTTATTATGTATTTATTTATATTGTATGAGGTAACTGCTTGGTAGGTAGACACAGGTAGACACAGGTATATAAAGGTAGATAAAGGTATATACAGGTATATAAAGGTAGACACAGGTATATAAAGGTGGACAAAGGTAGACCAAGATATATAAATAATTAATAAATATACAGGTGAATCATAAAACAAAAAAGAGAAAATAAAAACAAAAGCAAAAAATAATGAAAAATATTAAAAAATCGAATACAATAAACAAAATCCACACAGGTAATACTGATATACCTGATTAATTAAAATATATAAAATGTGGTCTGTTTTCACCTGGTTTTTTTTTTTAGACGTTAAACCAATTTGCGCTTCGTTAACAGTCCGCTTAACGAAAGGATAACGATATTACCTGTACAATTAACAAGCTCGTTAATGATAGCTGTTCACGTGTCTAGTTCTGTTTATTTAATTTGAGAACCATTTTTTTGCAACGAGGAAAGTTTATTTATAGGCAAGAGAAATGTATGTATGTATGTATGTATGTATGTATGTATGTATGTATGTATGTCGGTGAAGCTGGTGATGAATATATGTTTTAAATAAATTTCGGGGATTCTGGCTAACGGGGATTGTGTTTATGTGATATATATGATAGATGTTGACACACCCACACACACAAAGACACACACACACACACACAAAGACACACACACACACACACAAAGACACACACACACACACACACACACACACAAGACACACACACTCACACACACACACACACACACACACACACACACACACACACAAACACACACACACACACACACACACACACACACACAACACACACACACACACACACACACACACACACACCACACACCCACACACACACAAACACACACACAAACACACACACACGCACACTATCAACACCTCTCACTAACATTCTGATGCAGGAAGGATTTCAACCAGTTCCAGAGTTAGTTCCTGGCCATTTATACCCCTCTCACCTCTCTCACCCCCCTCTCACCCCCCCTCACCCCCCCATCAGCCCTGACACAACACTGAATAATGGAAACACTCAACCGCTAGCTGGTGGGGTGCAGGTGTTGGGGGTCAAGTGGTACTCCTCTCCCACAGCACCCCAACAAAGTGGACCAGGTTGGATACAGTAGTTTTCAGTGATTGGGTGGAGAAGGAGGGGTGGGGTGGGGTGGAGTGGGGTGGGGTGGAGTGGGGTGGGGTGGGGTGGAGTGGGGTGGGGTGGGTGGGAGAAAGGAAGAGAGGAGTAGGGAAGGAAAGGGTAGGGGAAAGGAGGGGGTGGGGAGTGTTATTATCAAGTGTAATTTGTCTCTATATTTGGCACAGAAAGTTTGTACAGCCCTTCCCTTCCTTCCCTTCCCTTTCAATTTTATCCTCTCTTTCCTTCCTCTTTTCCAATCCTCTCCCTCTCTTTCTTCCTACTTTCTCTTTATATCTCCTTCTTCTCTCCTCATTTCTCTCCCCTTGATACACCTCCATTAACTCTAGCTGACCTTTTGACCCCAGTTGACCTCTAGCATGTCATTTCCAGACGTGAATGTTATTATAAATTTACGTAACTGTCTATTTGTGTGTGGGTGTGGGGGGGGGTTGTGTATGTGTTTTACTGCCCTTCTGTCTGTTTGTGTCTGTCTTGCTGTATACTGTAGACGAGACAGACAGACAGACAGACAGGTCATCTCCCCACCATAGTCCACTTACAACATTAGAATCCAATACTACTTAAGGACTAACAAAGACGATCCGATTTCAGGGTTAGGTAAGTGGTTACTGACCCGGAATTATTGCTCTTAGTTTAATGGTATATGTGACCCGGAACTAGTGGATAAGTCATAATAACTGGGTAAACGTGGTATACACAGGGCCGATTTGGACTCAGTAAGCATTCGCAGTTAACCTCAGCGTGCAAAAAAAACTACCCTAACCTGACCATACTAGCCTAGTCAAACCTAACCTAATCCAAGCCAACCTAGCTAAATATCTATCTATCTATCTCTCCTTTATTCACTTATGTGTGTGTGTCTCTCTCTCTCTCTCTCTCTCTCTCTCTCTCTCTCTCTCTCTCTCTCTCTCTCTCTCATCACGGGGCAGTAAAACTTAATAGCCTCTAATACTCCCGAGACATTATGATCAAATCCCAGTCATTTAGTCTTCACGATCACCTAAGTTAAAGAAAACGTTTCCTCCGAGCATTAGTTCTTACTGCTGCTATATTTATATTCTTTAAGGTGGTGTTAGACTTAGAGGCTCCGATAGGTAGATAGATAGATAGTGCGAGGAAGGAATGAATAAAACAGAGATAGGGAAAGATAGAAAAGGAAAAGTAATTAAGATAGATAGATAGAGTTTATTGCATGTCTCACCCTTCCCTCTGAATATATATATATATATATATATATATATATATATATATATATATATATATATATATATATATATATATATATATATATATATATATATATATATATATATATATATATATATATATACAGGGATTTAAGAAGCACAGAATTCCCAAACAGATCCCGTACATGAGTGTTTAGTAGGCTATAATAAAAAGTCATCAATCACCTCTATATTAAGACTCCTGTAAGAAAAATATGCTTGTAAAATATAAAGAACCGTCACATATTAAAGTATAAAGAACCGTCACATATTAAAGTATAAAGAACCGTCACATATTAAAGTATAAAGAACCGTTACATATTAAAATATAAAGAGCCGTCACATATTAAAGTATAAAGAACCGTCACATATTAAAGTATAAAGAACCGTCACATATACCCTATTAAGTACAGTTACTGTAACTTAAAATGTATATGGATGCATAAAAAACAAATTGATTAACCTATCATTAAGCCCTTTTAAATATAAGATCTAATTCGTATTAGATCTCTTCTATATCAAATAAAAAGTATTAGATTCTCTATAATCGATGGTCATTTGTTTTTTGACTCGATTGTTTACATCGTCTATACAATTGGCGCGTAGGAGGCTAGAAGACTGACGATGAAATAAGATGAACTTTTTCAGTCTCCAGATTTAATGGAAGAAAAATCCTC